AAAAAAAAAAAAAGCCCCAGTGCTCACTGGGAGCTGCTGGGCAGGGGGGCAATCCCCTTTGCCCCCCACTGCCCCACCCTTCATGGGGGGGCTCTGTCACGAACCCCCCGACCCTCCCCCCACTCCCTCAGCCTCCCCCATGGGTACCCTGCCCGGGCCAGCTCTGGCCCTTTAAGGAAAAACAAAAACCAAGAAAAGCCCCAGGACTCGCTGCTCCTGCAGCACACTTGGGGCTTAGGGGCCTCATATAGAGCCCCCTACATGACGCAGGGCAGCAGGGATCTCCCCCTGCCAGCAGGACCGGTGAGTCCAGTGTTGTTTCATTTTTTTTTCTTAAAGGGCTGGATCTGGCCCGGGTGGGGTACCCATAGGTGGGGCTGGGGGAGTGAGGGGAGAGGGAGCTTGTGAAGAGTCCCCCATGCAGCGTGGGAAGTGGGGGGCAGCGGGGATCACCTCATGCTTGGCAGCACCTGCTGAGCACCAGAGCTTTTTTTTAAACAAGTGCTGGGTGCTGGGGCGGGGGGAAGGGCCTGGCCTGGCTGATTTGGCCAAAGTGAATTGGGACAGTGATTTGAATCACCGAATCGAATCACTGTCCCCCGAATCTGAAGCAAATACTAGCCACTTCACATAGGTCTATCAAATAGCTCCTAGTGCTATGTATATAACCCATTATAAAGGCTTTTCGAACAACTCAGGTAAGGTTACATAATTTTAATTTCCCCAAAATGTTTTCACTTATTTTCCCCTCATTCCTGTATTATGCAGACTGTAAATAAAGCACTCCAAAAGACACTTCTGAAATTGTAAATGTTGAAATAATCTGCTCCCCCACATAGGCTGATTTTTTTATAGTTGCATTATTCTGTTTTGAAACAACAGACATAACTTTTATATGTATTATTTTAAGTCTTGGGCCCTTCCTCTGATAGTTAACCAATTCCAGCTGGAAACCTGTTTAAACATAGATAAAAACCCCAGTGTAGCTGAGGTGTTAAAGTGCAGACCTGAAAGTATAAGTATTCTGGAATTGCTGATAGTCAAGATCTTTGTTCCTCATTAACTCCATAAAATCAGGATTTTCCAGTGCAAAAACAATGCTGATAAGACACAACACTGACCACCGCTACAAAGAAATTATCTCAGCCCATTAGGCTTTGTGTCTGACTTACCCCAGGCTAGCTGTCATGTTTTAATTCATTTGCATTTCTCTGTTAGCTGTAGAAACTACATATTCTTATATGGTTTTAACACTCATATGTTCCTTGTAGGCTTTTTCTCTTTTTATAGCGGGGCTCCTTCTTCTCAGTGGGGCCATATCCATTTTAATTTTGAAAGACGTCCATGTTTGGATTTAAATGACTGACATAATTTGACTTGTATTATGGAGAAATTTGAATTCTGGAAAAAAATTAAGTTGACTGAGCCTGTACCAGTTTTGCTAAGTGTTATACTTCAGTTGGAAATACTCCTTTTTAAAAAAGTATTATGAATGGAGATGTATGCCTACAATATTGATTAAAATATTCATGTATTCCCTTTAATTGCCAGAAGCAGCTGATTAACCAAAGAGGAAATAACAAGGAAGTCTGTTTAAAACTGCCCTGTGCTACCTGAGAAAAAAACATTTACCACTGTAAGATGACAGTGGGAGGTAAACCTACCTAGTGGAAGGTGTGCAAAGCTCCATAAATGCGTAATTTGACATTTAAATTTGTTGCAAGCAGAGAGGGAAAAATAAATCTTTAATTTTTTTTAATCATAATCTTCCTGTAAAGGACAGTGAGAGCAAAGATTCCCTCCTTCCAACACACTTACTTTCAGAAAACTGTATACTAAATGTACTAATTTAAAAAATGGCAGAGGCAGATTATCGATGACACTCAATTTCAAATGAACTGAACATACTAACATTAAGTCTGAATATTACCCTATTTTTTCTGGTCATATGTTTACTGGAGATCAGTAAAATTTAATATGGAGACATGCAAGCAACGTTATATTTCTAATGCTATTGCTAAAATAGAAATTGTGCTCCTTGGAATCCAGACATATATCTATATACAAATATTATTTAAAACTGGATTATAACACGATCTAATATTAGCTAAAAGTGCGGTCCTGAGTCCACTGATACTTAGGGTATGGACAGGTGTTTATGATGCTTCAAAATGCCTCAGCATTTTGTAGCACTACAAAAATATAGTGCTAAGGGTTCACAGAAGTGTTCCAGCCCCCTGGCTAGGGACCTACAATGTTACCTTAAATGCCCCCAGGGAACCTGATCACTGAGAGCCTGCCTTCTCCACTGCCAGGGAAGGAGACAGGCTGTCAGTGATCAGCTGGCAGCAGCTGCCAGAAAAGTCCCAGCTGCCGGAGGGGGTGGTTGGAGCACTGCACTCCTCGGCCCCATCACCCCAAGTAATCCTGCTGCCACTGCCTGAGCCCCAGCTCTTGGCAGGGCTCTTACAGTGGAGGCAGAAATTCTCTCATCCAAACCCTCACCACCCACACTTGGAGGGAGGGAAGTGGAGGACTGTGGGACACTGGGAGCCCCAGAGCCCCATGCAGTGTGATGTGTAACTGTACAAGCATTACACATAACACTATGAAAAATATTTTTTTTGTAGCACTACAAGGGTGTATTTAGTGCTACAAAGGTATGGGTGTCAGTAGCCTTAGTTTCATTCATACTAGTCATGAACATTAAAGAATGTTGCTAACCCTAATGATGCCATTGTATTTCTGAAAACCAGTTAAATGTGGTTGAAAACTGACTTCTCCAAAATATGCCACAACACAGTCTACACAATTGGGGTTATAATCCAGAGATGATTTTAAATGTGTCGAAGTCCAGGAACAGCAAGGAGCAAAGAGTTTATTACACTTACTTAGAGAATTGATTTTTCTGCTCCCAGTGTCTGCAGTACAAGTAGAAGGTACTCAGAGCTAGATTTTTTTTAAAGTATTTGGGACACCTAAAAACATTTAAAAATCTGGCTCTCAGTGCCTTGTTGTAGATATTTGGTTCTTCAAAGGAACAAGACCTCTGAGACTTTTTATGGATTACCTTTTTAAAAAGTGGCTGTAGCTCCATTCCATGTTGACTACAAATGTTTTCTCTGAGGCAGTTTCTGATTTTTGAGGAGGAGCACCGATTTGATTGAAATCAATGCGAGTTCTGCTATTGCTTTCAATGAATTGAGGATTTCACCCTAACATCCAATCTTCTCTTCAAGAAGGACTGACAGGACTGCTCCTAGCTGCTTGCTCTTCATGAAATTCTGTGGTTCAGCAGCATAAAAGGGAGCAAGCAGAAGTCGACACTGGCAGTAGAGTGTGTGGGGGGGGCACTAACTGTGACTTGATGCTACTGTGCAGTTGTCACAAGCTACTGTGCAGTAGTGTCAGGAAAAAACCCGTGCAGGCATACCCATGCAGTAACATTAGTTACGTCACAGTCATGTAGTACTTGGTTATGCAAGTACTAAAAGACTGTGCAGTAACAACTGCTAGTGTAGATGGAGCCACTAACTCCCTTTATAACAAATTGTTCGAGGATTTCTTGTGAATTTGGAGAATGAGTAATTCATGGTGAGTCTTGTGTGGGATCTGGGACTTAAGGAAATTAGAAAGATGGCCCTTTTGCTTCCCTAAGCTGAGATCCCAAGTGTTTTATCCCTGCTATCCAGAGATTTGAATTCCTGTCTTTTGTTAAGCAAGAGCAACTGGAGGAGCATTACTGTCTGTTGTTGCTGTACTCATAAAGGTCTAAGCTTAAATCTGTAGCCACAAGAGCAACTTTACTGTAAAATGGTGTAGTTGTACCCAAGTCTGGGTTAGCTTCCCTGTCTCTGAAAGAGGCTGGGAAACGCATAGTGGTTCCATTTCTCTTGTGGTTAGACTGCTACAAGTAGCAGCGTTAGTTAATGTAAAGCTGGCTGAGGTATGTCTATGCTACACTGCAGTCATAATAGAATAGAAATACTATAAAAAGCAGTGAACAGCATAATAAAAAGTCTACATAAAATGTTCTAGAACTCTGCTTTTAATGACCATGTGAATCCTAATGAGAAATACCAATGGAAAAGTGTGTTTATTTCTACTTCACAAGATACTCATTCAGTCTCTTCACTAAACTCTGCTTTTTAGAGTGAATTTGAAAAATGTGTTTGCAATATCTATATTTTCAACCTGATGCTAGAAACATATTAGTTTGTAGTCTAGTAGCTTAGCTAGGAAAAGCTAAATCAATCTGCCTTTTTTATTTACATGCTTTATTCCTGAGAAATGTAATTGTAGTTTTTATTAACTTTATGTTTTATGGATCTAATATTTAAGAACAAGTCTATCTTATATGTCACAGTAAGAAGGTTAATATACTTACAGATTCTCCAGCAATACATCTTGGGCAAGGCTGGGCAGTACTTCTGCTTCCATGATTTTGAAAAATCTAATTAACAAGAATACAGAAAACTCTCAAAAAAGCAATTATTTGCCATTTTATTATATTTAGAACACATTCTACTAACAAATGTATTTTGTTTACACTATTAACTTACCACCAAATTTTGCTTTTCCTCTGTAGTCTGAGGGATACATTGTTCTGGGAAACCTTTCTGTTTAGAATCCAGCTCCGTAGTCCAGTAATCCATGGTGCATTCGTTTAATTGGCAGTGAGCATCACTCTCATTTGGAACAGTTTCTAAACTTTTACACACACGTTTCTGGAAGAATAAAAATGAATATTTAGAAACCTTTATCAAGCACTGGCTAATGCATCCGAAAACAATAAAAGCTGTGACAGAGAAAAAGGTCCTAGGTTTAGCTGGATGCTGAGGATGCTGGTTTACAGCTTGGGAGGTTTTAATTTAGTTCCCTACTCTGCCATGCATTTGCTGGATGTCTTTAGGTATCTCAGTTTATGCATCATGCAAAGCAGCACATGGCATTCTAACTTCAAAGTTGCTGGGACATCTATACAGTATAGTGCAGTACTTGGCAGAGATGCTAACTTGGGTCTCAGAACCAGGTATCTATGTCAATGATGCATTCTGACCAGGCTAATGAGCCCTGCTGTTCTTTATAGTGGTTTTAGCCCCTGAGTTAGTTCAGCTGGAAGCAGTTTGTGTATCTCTAAAAGGTACCGCATTGTGCCATACAGAGATATCCCTATTTCTCTGTGTATCACTTTCCCATCGGTAAAATGGGGGACAACAGTATTTTCCCATCTCAGAGGGGAGATGCGAGACAAGGATTAGGAGGTGCCTAGTTACGGTAGGTGCATCAGGAAGAATTCTCAGATGCAGCTCAGCAGTGCAGGCTGGCCAAGACATGGGGTTAGCCCCTAAAAGACATACCATGCGACTTTACGGTATAATGGAAGAATGGGCAAATATTTTAAAAAATGACTTGGGTATTTAGGAGCCTATGTTCTGCTGACTTTCAGTGAGACTTAGGTACTTTTGAAAGTTTTCACCTATGCCCCTTTGAACTCACCTTTGATTTTAAGAACAACAGTGTTCAGTCTTTCACTAGTGGATGTATCTGTCTCATAGGCAGGAAATAACTTGCCAATAAACTAAACAGACTACTGAAGCATGGAAACTAAATTTAAAATTTGAATATGTACAAGAAATCCTGTTATGTAAAAATAAAATGGATCAATACAACATAAACCTCAGCGGAGAATAGCTGAAAAAAGAACACTACCAAGGAATAAAGGATATTTGTAAGGGAGGTAAATCAAAAAGTAAAATATGTATTGTACTAAGAAAGTGAATAATATAACAACAAAAAGTCGGAGAAGGTCCTCTAAAGACAGGCTGCCCTCCACTGGGAAAACATTCGTTTCCCTTTGTTGCTGCAGGACTCGTCCTTTATTAAAAGCTATGGCATACTAGTAGAGCAGCATAACCAGCAAGATGTATGAGATGAAGGATAAAAGGAAAAAGTGATTTACTTCTATGCATCATAAGAAATTTGGCTTATCAAAAATAAATTCAAGGTATTGTTTGGGGGTTTAAGATACTTAATATCAGTGACAGAAATTTAGCATACAGAGTAGCTGACTGACAATCGTATCATACTGATGCTAAAAGAACTTGTGGAAGCTTCCAGAGAAGGCTGAAGAAAAAGCTAAATTTTCCTGAATTTGATGAATGTGAACTATTATCTCATGGAACAGTAACAATCAATACCTTAATTTTGATTGTGAACAGAATACAGTCACGGTAGGATCAAAGTTTATGATTAATAAAGACTAAAAAGTTAGTTGTTGAGAGAGACTTGGTTTCCATAGGCAAAACATTACATCAAAATGACACCTCATTTTCCAGGAGCAATTCCAGTATGAGGATCACCTTAATGATCACTTTCTACAGTGTATCCAGTGTGGGTCCAGTGCCACCATAAGAAACACAGATCATATTTATTGCAGGCCAGGTACAGAAGAAAAGATGATTCTAAAAGAAGACGCACACTAACCTCCCCTAAGAGCAAAATGTGAATGTGTGTGCTGAAAAAATCTGCTTTTCAGAACAATGTCTTTTCCCCCTGAGTAATAATGAAGTTGCCACAAATTCATTTCCTGGCTTCATAGAAGACATTGATCATGTAAGAGAGAAAAACAGATTGAAGAACTAAATAGATAGAATTAACCAATCCAAATGCAACAGCAGATGTGTGTGAGGCAGACTGTCATTTGCCTTCTTATACATATATTTATTATAATATTTATAATATCTTCTTAGAAGCCTCAATTTCAGGCGTTTACCTCTACTGATATTTGCTCTTTGCCCAGCGTGTTTTATCCTATATATGCAGTAATAAAACGGCAACCGGCACAGCTGTATTTTGTTCAGTGTAGTTATCAGCCCATATTTCACATAGGACACTATATCTACAAAAAAGGCTCCTACTCCACAAGGCTGAGAGCACTGCCAGCCTCCTCTCCTCCACCTACCATTCTCACTCCACATAAGCTTGGAAATAAGGTAGTGAAACCACTCCTGGGGCTATCTCCATCACCACTCTCAAGCTCTTTCTGGCATGTTAGTGGGTGGCCTCAGAGCAACTAAACTGCCTTGTATCTGGATTTGGTGCACCTGAAGCTGCAGTGAGTGGAGTAGACAGAGTACACTCTTCAGTACTGCTAACTCAGGAGTGCTGTGGGATCACTACACATAATCCTTTAGAAAATGCTAAGCCCTTTGCTGGGCTTGAGGTCAAAGAATCTGGAAATTAACATGCAGTTAATCAGGATTTCCTTGAAAGCAAGAGCTCTCTCTTAAAGTACACTTGTGGAGTGCAGACAAAGATGCCTAAATGTGCAAAAAAATAAAACCAAACCATGTATGATATATGCACTGGGGACAGCTCACAAGAGGAGTTGTGGGAGAGAAGGAAAGGAATGAGAACTCTTCCCTGCCTCCCAGCCCCTTTTCTGCCCCTACTCGGGACTTACCACAGTATTAGCTTTTCGTACCTTGTGTACAAAGTCTGAGAGTACAGAGATTAGAAAAAACAGTGCCAGCTTCCCTGAAGACAGCAAACCTATGGCCTCACTTCCCCCACTGCATCAGTTAGCAAAGCTCCCATTTACACTCTAGCTGCCATGGAGATGATTCATTTTAAAGGAAGGATCTACTAGAGATATGCTCATCACATTACATTGGTGATAGCATGAGTTAGTAGTCAAAGGTTCCATTATTGGAAGATTCTTCCAAGAGAAGAACGTTTTAAGGGCTTTGATATTAAACCCAAGAAGTACATAGCTTACCCAAAGTTATGCAAGCTTAAAATAAAGTCAGCTTCTCATTGTTCATACTAAGAGGAATCTTCAGCTTCTACCGCTAGTTTAAATCTACAGCAGGAACCAGTTTCCACTTGCCTGGCTCTTACAACACCTGCATTACAATCATAAGATACCAATAACTGATGTTTTATAGAAAAAACTCTCTTGTCAGACCTGCATGATGGATCTAACTCAGATATTCTGCTCTCTGCAAATGCAAGGTTTGCACTGGAGACAGTTAGTAGAAAATCTGACTTGGTACCTGTCATGTAGATCTGAGACAAAAATGTTATCCTGTCTCTAGTAACTTATTTTGTTACTGGACAATCTACAATGTGTGAGCTAAGAGAAGGTTATTATCTGGCTGGGTAACCTCAAAAAGAAACAGAGGATTTTTTTTCCATGTATACTAGTCACTTGGAGTCAGAGAAATTTGAAAGCATGGACAAGACATTTTTTTCCTTACCTGTAAATGGTATTTCTCTGATGGACAAGGTTAGCCTCTAACTAGATGGGTTGTTGCTCATGTCACACTTGAACAGGCGTGATCAGCCAATGGAATAGGAGCATATGAGCACCAACTCAGGTTGACTTGAGGCTCCTATTAACTTCCCCAGTCAATGCTCTGGCACGGACTATAAAGAGAAGTGCTTATATGGCAGAAACTGAGAGAGACCTTGTTGGAATGTTTCATTAAAGGAATAAACTCACTTGAGCTTAGTTAAAGTGAAAAACTTTTATCCTGAAAGTGCAAACTTCAGACTCCTCACAGACTATCCTTATGAGGCACATTACAGAAGTAGGGCAGTAGAGAAGTGAGTAGTGTTAGGTAAGGCCAGCTAGTGATAAGACAAAATACCATCCAAAAGAGGGGTGTTTATCAGACAAATAACAATTATAAGGTAATAGGCAGATGGACCATTTCCAGTTAGACAATGAGTATATGGGATCTGTACAGCATTCGCTCCTAAAAGGGACAGGACCTTTCAAGTTAGAACAAACAGTAAGAAAAGCTGTGTAGAGGTATATGTGCAACACCTAATAAAACTACTTATTTAGAAACAGCTAATAGCATTGCTATCTATTCTGTGCTACAATGGGTAACATTTACCGCTAGGATATTATCCTTAGCACCTATACTATGTGCCAGTTCCATGTATATATTAGATCTTTTTTCTGCATGAGAAAATTAGCATACAGTAAGCAAGGTGTGAACATGTGTTGCGCTAACTTGCGGTGTGGATACTCATAGTTACACATTGGGTGCGTCTACACGTTCATTAATGTGCCTTAGCTACTCCATATTTAGTTTAGTACTTG